AGCCTGGGTTCTCCCGCGCGCGCCTTCGCCGCCGCCGGCACGGTCAGCCAGAGGGCTGGCGGGCTCAGAGCGAAACCGAATCCGAAGATGTCGGCGCCAGGCTGGGCGCAGCTGGCGCGGAGGCTCGGGGCCGACAGCCCCGAGGCGAAAATCTAGCCGGAGGGGTCCTGATCCTCGTCCCTGGTGGGTCTGGCGACGGCTGCCTCGAGGTGGGCGATCTCCGCCAGAGCGACGGCCTGGTCGGCTGTGGCGCAGTGGGCGCCGGCTGCAGGGAGCAGGGCCAGGCCTGGGTGGGCGTGGCGGGCGTGGCATGCAGCCAGGTGGCCCTTGTGCCCCGCTTGGTGGGGCGCCAGGGGCCCTCGCCGGACCCTGGGCCCGTCAAACAACGACTCGGGATGAGGAATGATGGGCCTGTCTTCCACCACCACTACAACCACCATAAGTTGGAGGTGGAGGGGGTCTTCCTCCTCCTCCTCCTCCTCCTCCTCCTCCTCCTCCTCCTCCTCCGCCTCCTCCTCCTCCTCCTCCTCCTCCTCCTCATCCTCATCCTCATCCTCATCCTCATCCTCATCCTCATCCTCTTCTTCCTGGTGAACCGGGTCCTCGTGCAGGACTGTGGCACGACGGAGGGGGGTGCTCGGCGGCCTCGGCCACACGGGCGGGCAGACGGTGCGCGAGGGCGGCGCAAGGTCCGTGCTCCCCGGGGCTGCCCGAGCCTTCGCCTCTCGTGAGAGGGGGAAGGGATGGAGGGGGCGGGGGAGAGGGGGGTAAGCTGGAGGGACGGGGAGGGGGGGAGGACGCGGGGAGAGAGCAGGAGGGGGACGGGGAGGAGGGGGACGAAGAGGGAGGGGGAGGGGGAGGGCGCAGTGAGCGGAGGAAGAGGAAAAGGAGCAGCGTACGGAGCCAGGAGAGAAAGAGAGAGAGAGAGGGGTAGGAGAGGGGAGGGGATCTGGAAGGCGGGGGCGTGGCGGCGCGGAAAGGGGTGAGGGCGGCAAGGCGAGGCGGACGCGAGGAGAGGAATCTGGGGGGTAAAACGGGATGGGAAGGGGCAGGGCGGGAGGGGCTTTAGGACTCTAGAGTAGAAGCTCGACCACAAGAAACCTTCCACAAGAAACCCAGCCCTTATACCCCAGGACGTCCATTGATTGTGGTGCGGGAACGTCACGCTTTCCATAGCAAAACCATCGAGACCCAAGAAGCCAAGGGCACCCTGGAGGCAAGCACGGTGTTTCTTGGCATGGGTTTCCACTGTAGGGTTCGTGGTCGGTCCCGCGCGCACGCGAGGTTTAGGCAGAGAAAGAAAAGGCTGACAGCCACCAGCGACAGCGACGACGACGACGACGACCACGACAATGACCACGGCAACGGCAACGGCGACGGCGACGGCGGCGACACGGCGACGGCGACGGCGACGGCGATGGCGACGACGATGGCGACTGCAACGACGACGACGGTAACGGCGACGGCAGACCAAGACGGCGACGACGACACCGACACGACAAGACAAGGCAGGACGACCGACAGGTCGCCCGTTGCGAAACCGCCGACGACGGCGGCACCACAGGGGCGGGGGGGAGAGGGAGGCGAAGCGGGGGAAGGGGAGGGGCCGCGGGGAGCCCAGTGGCGATTACCTGTGCAGCCTACATGAGTGGCACAAGTGCGCACCGTGGCGGCGCTCTTGCCCCGACGACCGAAGACGGCCCACGACCCCCCAAGGTGGCCCGAAGTGGCCCCAGGGACCCCCAAGACTGCCCCGCGGGAGCACGATAGAGGACGGAAGAACGCGAGGTCAGACGACGAGGACGAGCAAAAAACCGCCGCCACGACGCGGAAGAGCGTCTCACACGCCACGGCCCCTCCAGGCCTCGAGACGCGAAGTGACCACTGATCCGCCGCCCCCCGTCGATTCATCGCGGGGGTGCCTAGCGTGCTGAACCCTTTCGGTTTGGGTTTTGGCTCTTTTTCCAAAAGAACTCCCCCTGGGGCTCCGCCGCGTCCCGCCGGGGTCCCGGAAAGATTGCCCAGACCCGGCTCCAAAGGGTTTTTCCTGCTCCAGACGGCTCTAAGACGGCCCAAGATGGCCTCCAAGACGGCTAAGATGGCCCCAAGATACCTCCAAGACGGACCAAGTTGCACCCAAGACGGCCTCAGATGGCCTCGAGATGGCCCAAGACGGCCCAAGAGGCCCCCAAGAGGCCTCCAAGACAGCCCAAGAGGCCTACAAGAAGTCCCTTAGGTTTCTGAAGGATTTCGGCATTTGCTCAAGACGGCTCAAGACGGCCCAAGAGGCCCCCACGATCGCCCCAAGATCGCCCACGAGGCCTCCAAGATGGCCCCATGACGGCCCAAGAGGCCCTCAAGACGGCCCCAAGAGAGCCCAAGACGGCCCAGGAGGCCTCCAAGACGCCCACCAAGATGGCCTCCAAGACCGCTAAGATGGCCCCAAGATGCCTCCAACACGGTCAAGATGCACCCAAGACGGCCTCAGATGGCCTCCAGATGGCCTAAGACGGCCCAAGAGGCCCCCAAGAGGCCTCCAAGACAGCCCAAGAGGCCTCCAAGAGGTCCTCCAGGAGGGCGCGAAGAGGCCAAGATCGTTGATTTCCCTTAGGTTTTTGAAGGATTTTGGCATTTGCATCTTTTCGGCATTCCGACGGCTCAAGACGGCCCAAGAGGCCCCCAATATCGCCCACGAGGCCTCCAAGATGGCCCCGTGGCGGCCCAAGAGGCCCCCAAGACGGCCCCAAGAGGGCCCAAGGGGCTTCCAAGACGGCCAAGATGGCCTCCAAGACGGCTAAGATGGCCCCAAGATGCCTCCAAGACGGCCCAAGATGCACCCGAGACAGCCTAAGATGGCCTCAAGATGGCCCAAGACGGCCCAAGAGGCCCCCAAGAGGCTTTCAAGACGGCCCAAAAGGCGTCCAGGAGGTCTTCCAGGGGGGCACGACGACGCCAAAATCATTGATTTCCCTTATGTGTTCGAACGATTTTGGCATTTGCTTCTTCTCAGGATTCCGACGGCTCAAGACGGCGCAAGAGGCCCCCAAGATCGCCCAAGAGGCCTCCAAGACGGCCCCAGGAGGGCCCCAAGAGGCCCGAGAGGGCTCCAAAACGCCCAAGATGGCTTCTAAGAACCCCTGATATGCCCCAAGAGGGCCCCAAGACGACCCAGACAGGCCCCCAAGACGGCTTCCGACGGCGTCAGACAAGCCAGGAACGCCCCAAGACGGCCAAAGAGGCCCCCAAGAAGCCCCGAAGGCCCCCAAAAGCCCTCCAAGAGGCACCCAGGAAGCTCCCAGGAGGCCCCAGGAGTTCCCCACCTCCTCCTCCTCCTCCTCCTCCTCCTCCTCCTCCTCCTCCTCCTCCTCCTCCTCCTCCTTCTCCTCCTCTTTTTTCCTCATCCTCCCCCTCTTCCTCTTCTTGCTCCCCCATGCGTTCCCCGAAGCCTTTCCACACCGACTCGGCCCAGCTGTCGGGCACAGAGGCGCTTCCAAAGGGGCAGGGGGCGGCGGTGATTCGCCGTAGGCGTCTTCGATAAAACGGCTCCCGTGCGCCCCGCCGACATCGGAGCAGGGCGAGGTGACACAACGGCACCGCACAAGCGGTCCCTATCCGCGGGTAGCTGGATCAAACACACCACCAAAAACATGTTTTTCAGTGAGGGGCAAGATGGGAGCAGGCCAGAAGCTTCAACAGTCAGCGTCGTCGACATGCGAACGCAGACACACGCCTGATGCGAACGCCAGCGCGGGGGACAGACACTCACCGCGCCGAGGGTGGGGGGAGGAGGAGGAGGAGGAGGAGGAAGGAGGTCAGGAGGAAGGAGGAGGAGGAGGAGGAGGAAGGGGAGGAGGAGAGGAGGAGAGGAGAGGAGGAGGACCACCACCAACAAAAAAAACTGCAGCTCCAGACTAAAGGGCGGGTGGCGCCGCGCGCAGGAAAGGTGCCGCCCAACTGCGCCCCGCAGGCCTCGGCGCGCTCGCCTGCAGGGGTGCCGTCCGCCGGCGCGCGCGCGCGCGGCCGCGATCGATCGACGACGACGATGACGACGACGACGACCAACGTCGACGACGACAGCCGACGGCGACGACGACGACGGCGACCAACGTCGGCGACGACGGCCGAGGCCTGACACGACGTACGAACAGAGAGCGCCGGTCGGCTACGACGGCCGACCGGCGGCGACGACGCGACTGCGGCGACGCGGCCGCGGCGGCGAACGGCGAACGGCGACGGCGCGCCGACGCGTGGCGCCGACGGCGGCGGCGGCGGCGACGGCGACGACGGCGGCGGCGCCGACGACGACGGACGGCGACGGCAACGGCGACGGCGACGGCGACGGCGGCAGCGCCGACGACGGCAGCGACGGCGATGGCGACAGCGACGGCGACGGCGTCGACGACGACGACGACGACGACGACGACGACGGACGGCGGCGGCGACGACGACGACGAGAACAAACGACGACCGACGGCGACCGACGGCGACCGACGGGGAGGACGAAGACCCTGTGTGTCAGGAAGTGCGCGCGTGGGGCTGGGCAGCAGCGTCGGAGGTCAAGAACTTCTCCCATGCCGTCCGTCCCCTCCTCTTCCCTTCTCGTCCCTCGTCGCCCTCCTCCTCCCCCCTGCCCGGTCATCATCTTCCCCCCCGTCTCTCCGCTCCTCAAAGCGGCGCCAAAGACCCAGGACCGCAGCATCTCGGAACCCCACTTCTCGGGAGGCAGGCAGGTACTGGGCGGTACTTTTGGAAGCAGGACGCGCCACCGGGACGGTGTGCAAGATAGCTGATCTGCGGGGTGTAGGATGGGCGGGGCGCTGGTGTTGGATGGGGGGGTAGACGGTCCTAATGACAGGGAAAGGTCAGGGGGGAAAAAACTGGAGGATGTGGCACAGTTGGGGCGCGTGGTGGGAGGTGCCAGATAGATGGCTCGAGGGGAATGTCCACTTTCTACTCTTGCAAGAGAAGGCGAGCGAAGTCCTGGCGAATTCTGGGGGGGACAGGCCAGCAGGTACAGGGTCGTACTTTAATGGAAGGGAGGACACGACACCAGGAAGGCTTCCAGGATAGCGGGTACAAGGTGTGTATGATGGGCGGGGAGGTGGCGTAGGACGGTCGATCGGGTGGTCGCGAAAACCAGAGAGGGTAGGATGGCTGGGGCGCGTGTTGGGGCGGTGCTCTCTGAACGAGGACACGCCACCAAGATGTGTAGGACAGCTGCGGGTGAGGTGGCCCCGGTGAACAGGGGAGGGTGCAGGGTGGAGCAAACCCGAGGGTGTAAGATGGCCAGGGCGCGCGGTCGGCGGTCCCCAAAGAACGACTTCGGGGGGGGGGCAGAGGCGGGCAGGTTTGGGGTGCCGCCGTTCTTCCGAAGGGGGCCCACGATCTCAGGCGCAGTGAGAATATAGATTTCGAGCACGCGCCGAGGGCGCACCCAGGGGCTGCCGTGCACACGTCGCCCAACTCCGAGGTCCTCCAGCGCCTGCCCCCCAGGGGAAGGAGGAAGGGAGAGGGAGGAGGGCGAAGAGGAGCAGACAAGGGAGCAGAGGGAGGAAGGCGAGGAAAGGCGAAAGGAGGGGAAGGACCTGAACAATCCCTGGCCAGCGGCAGAGGCGCCAGAACGCCAGAGGGTACCGTTGGATGGCGAAACACCGAAGCGCCAGAACACTTTCGAGGGTGGGGGCAACAGTTCCCTCGAACCTGGGCGCCTAAATTCGCCCTGGCGCCGCCCCCCCCACACCTGGGGCAACCAAACGGTACCGATACCGCCATTCCCCGGACCTCTCGGGGGGGGGGGGCGTTCTGACCAGGATCTAGAAGCGGATCCAGCCATGGCGACGAGGGCCTCCCAAGCGGCCCAGACCCCCAACGTCATGACTTTTCCCAACCATCCTGTGGTGTTGGGTCCTCGTTTGGACGAGTCAACGCCCCGCGTTCCCACAACTCCTCCTCCACCCCCTCCTCCTTCCCCCTCGTCCCTCTTCCCATCCGCCCCAGGCCGCATGCGTCAACGCCACCCAGGACAGCGCTTCGTGGCCCCATAGGGAGCTTCACCGGAAGCACCAGTGGCACAGGTCGAATGCGTCAGCGCCACACAGAACAGCGCTTCGTGGCCGCATAAGGAGCTTCACCGAAGGCTCCAGTGGCACAGGCCGCATGCGTCAACGCCACCCACGACAGCGCTTCGTGGCCCATTGGGAGCTCCACCGAAGGCTCCAGTGGCACAGGCCGCATGCGTCAACGCCACCCAGGACAGCGCTTCGTTGCCCCATAGGGAGCTCCACCGAAGGATCCAGTGGCACAGGCCGCATGCGTCAACGCCACCAAGGACAGCGTTCCGTGGCCCATTGGGAGCTCCACCGAAGGCTCCAGTACCTCAGACAGCGCTTCGTGGCCCCATAGGTAGCTCCACCAGGCCGCATGCGTCAACGCCACCCAGGACAGCGCTTCGTGGCCCCGCAGGGAGCTTCACCGAAGGCTCCAGTGGCACAGGCCGCATGCGTCAACGCCACCCAGGACAACGCTTCGTGGCCCCATAGGGAGCTCCACCGAAGGCTCCAGTGGCACAGGCCGCATGCGTCAACGCCACCCAGGACAGCGTGGTCGTGGCCCCATAGGGAGCTCCACCGAAGGCTCCACTGGCACAGGCCGCATGCGTCAACGCCACCCAAGACAGCGTTCCGTGGCCCCAAAGGGAGCTCCACCGAAGGCTCCAGCGGCAGGGTCCAGTTGCGTCAACGCCACCGATTTCGGCGCACGCCATCGCACGCTTCGTAGCCCCATAAGGAGTTCCAACGAAAGCGGTAGCCACAATGCGGCACTCGCAGCTGCATGTGGTTGGGTCCTTCGTCAGGCTACTTGCATGACGTCGACCGCCAGAGGTCTCGACCCATGCCCCGGGACGACCGGGTTGTTCCTCCTGGACCGGTTTTTGCCAGCCCTGGGGCATGGGGAAAGCCCCCATGCGCCCAGAGTAGCGAAAAAAAACGTCGTGAACGATCATCGTGAGAAATCTGCAGACGGCAACGGCCAAGGAGAATCATTAAGTGAGATTCGCCTTTCAATGTTGGCAGAGTGCGCAGGCGTGCACCATGGGCCAGGTCATTGATCTGCCGCACTTCGGCTTGCGAGCCCACTGGCAACATTGGGCGAGGGGGCTCTGACGTAGCGGCATGGGTAAAACTACCTCTCCCTCCTCCGAGGCGCCTGGAGGGGTGCCCAAGCAGGCGGAAACGAGGCACGGGCAACCCCCAGTCCGAACAAGTAGGCGGAGCCAACTCTCAACGACCGGCGTCTTGTCGGTGATTGCAGTGCGGGCTCGGCCGCAAGAACCCCTCGCAAGAAACCCAAGCCTGATAACCCGCGCGCGAGGTGCACCTGAGGGGAAACCTGAAGCACCCTGAACGCAGCAGCTGCTTCGACGGCTGCGGGAAGTCACCGCGCAGCGCGCGGAGCCAAGAAACCCAGGACAACCCCTGACGAAAGGCACGTGGCTTCTTGACGCGCGTGCGGATGGCCTCTGCCGCGCTGCGACGTACAAAGAGCATCGGCAACACGCTCTTCCTCCTCCGAGGCACCTCGAGGGGGCCCCCTGGAGAGGGGCAGGAGAGCCCAGGATCCAATCGACAAGTCGGATCGGCGATGGAGATGGATCGGACCGGCGGAAATTGGCACAGTCGAGTCGGAAAAAGTCGAGCCGACGGAAAAATCGGCAGGCTGCTGTGCTTCCAGTAATCAAGACATCGGAGCCCGAATCGGAATCCCATCGGAGCCCAGATGAGACATCGGAGCCCACATCGGAGCCCGACCTCGGAGCCGGATCGAATCGGAATCGGCAGCCATCGGCATCGGAACCGGAAGCCGCACCTAGGGAGCCCACAAAGGACGTACGCGCCCAGCTATGTACATGAACACGGCCCCTCGATTCGCGAGACCGGCCGCGTTATACGAACATTTGTGCAATGGGTGCTCTCGAAACCAGCGTGGATTCATGTACATGTTCGTCCTTCTTTCGCTCCTGAGAACCGGAGGACTCGGAACGAGCCCCGGGCAGCCCCGGAGCGCCCCCGCCGCGGCGCCGAGAGGGGCGGCGGCCGCCTCTCGCAGCCCCCCCCCCGGGGCCGGGCGCCGACTAAAACGAGCACCCCGGGGCGCCGCCCGGCTTCGCGCCGCGCGGGACGCCCCAGAGCCTCCTCCTCCTCCTCCTCCTCCTCCTCCTCCTCCCCTCCCTCCTCCTCCTCCTCCTCCTCCTCCTCCTCCTCCTCCTCCTCCTCCTCCTCCTCCTCCTCCTGCGCGGGACGCCCCAGACAGCCCTGACCTCCCCCGAGAGCCTGGCGACTCCAGTTCTTCGAGCCGAGCCGGGCCCCGAGACCCTAACGGAGCGATCCGGCTCGGAAGCTGGCGCTGAAAGAGAAGGTCCAGGGCTCCAGGCGCGATGTTTCACGGCGTCAAAAATTGTTGGAGGCGTCGGATCTTGAAAGGGAACTGGGACACACTAATAAAAAGACACAAATAACCAGATTCCCAATATGTTCCAATATTTTCTGGGTCCCCCCCACTTCCCATATTTTCCCAGATTTTCCTGGGAGGCGACGATTAATTGTGTCTGTGTTTTTCCCTCCTGAGATCTCAGGGACATCGAGGCGTGAAAAAAAGCACGACGGGCGACTTTGAGCTAGTTCCGGCCTCTGGGGGCCGCTCGGCTTGGCGCTGCGAGAGAAAAGTTAAAAACAAACAAACAAACAAACAAACAAGCAAAAACGCGACGGGCGGTTTTGAGCTATTTTCGGCCTATGGGGGCCGCCCCGCTTGGCGCCACGCCTGGCGCCCCAGTCATTCCCAGATTTCGTCTGGAGACATGGTTCTTGCAACACGTGGCCTCTGAAAGTCCCGAGGGCTCAACCTAAACAGTGTTTCTCGTGTTCGTTTCGTTCTCGTCCTCCCTCGCGTTGTCTTCGTTCCGCCTTCGCTGCAAGACGAAGTCAAAACAAAGGCAAAACGGTCCACAAAACCGCCAAAACACCTTTCTGGTCGAGCCCCGAGTCCCAACCCACTCCCCCGGGCCGGCTTCTCGGCGCACCACATCGCCGGCGGCACGAGAGCAGACCGAGGCATCACGGGGCGCCTTCACGCCTCGTGGCAAGCACCTGGACGCATGCTGTCGAAAGCAGGTGGCCGAAAAAATGCTCCATCATGGCCAAAGGTTAAACCCACACGCTTACGCTCCGGCCGAGGGGCTCTGGCTTCTGACAGGCGCTGGGCCTGGCGAGGGCCCACAGGAGCCCCAAGCCGGCCAGGAGCACCTCCCGTCGTGAATTCTGCACGGTGCCAGCACGTCTCGGGGGAGAAAGGTCCCGGACCTCTGGGGCCCCCGCACGGACAAAATCAAGAGCACCAGAGACTGGCGCGTTGTCGCCGGTCCTCGTCAATGGTCGTCGCCGTTATTCCGTCGACATTCGACGTTCGACGTTCGTCGTCGTCGTCGTCTTCGTCGCCGAAGTCTTCGACAGCGTAGTGGTCGTCGTCGTCGTCTTCGTGACCAGAGTCTTCGACAGCGTCGGGAACGCCCCAGATCGGCAGCACTGGCCTGAGGCTGCAGCGGCCACGCGAGCGGCGGAAAACAAAAACAGGTCTTACGCAGGATGGCATAGCGACTTTCCAGATGATCCTCAGAACGTGTGCTAGCGGCAACGTGTGCTGGTCCGCCGAGGCCCTGCAGCACGACGCAGGCGACGGAGCGAGGGCCGACGCAGGCTGACCACTATCGGCGGAGCCGAATGAGGTACACATACGCTTGGGCTAACACACGAATACACACAAATAAAAAGATTCCCCATATTTTCCTATATTTTCTGGGCTTGTGTCTTCCCGCCCAATTCCCATAGTTTCCTATATTTTCTTGGGGATCGACGATTAATTGTGTCTGTGTGTTTTTGTCCCTCCTGAATCCTGAGGATCATCGAACCTCACGCGGTGGCTTTCGCGGGCCGCCAGCGTGGCACGCCTACATTGGAACCGAGGCCGCTCACCCGCGACCTGACGCGGGCAGCTTACGCGCACATGTCCGCACTGTCGAACCCGTTTCTAAATCCGCATCGCTCATTTGATCGTTTCACTCCGCGGCCCCAAAGCTCCAGAGCCTATCCACGGTGGCAGCTTTTCGCCCCGATCCACTTTCGATCGCCCCATGGCCCGAAAACGTCCCCCAGAGGTCGAAACAAAAAAAAGCACGCCAGGATCGACAACAAAAAAAGACACCATCGTCGGAGATCTGGGTGCCCAGACTTCCGATGACTTCATTTTTGCATCACGGGATCACAGGAAGGCCCGATCCCTTCTCCAGTGCCAGCTTTTCATCCAGAGTCATCTTTTGACGGTCCCCGGTCTCTGCGAGGACCTCCAGGAGACGAAAACTGCCAAAAACCTCCCGTCGCGATTTCTCGTGGCGAGCGCGTCTGGATGGCCAGGCCGTGAACCGCATTCCCCCCGCTGACGAGCACCGCTGGGATCGGCGAAACATCGCCGATAAATCGGCGATATGCCCCCGATGCTGGATTCGCACGGGCCTCAGCGGGGTGTGCTCTTGGGCCCCTATCGGCAATGAATGGGCGATTCCGGGTCGATGCATCCTCCCTGAGCCCATCCCCCTCCTCCTCCTCCTCCTCCTCCTCCTCCTCCTCCTTCTCCTCCGCCTCCCTCCTCCTCCTCCTCCTCCTCCTCCCCTCCTCTCCTCCTCCTCCTCCTCCTCCTCCTCCTCCTCCTCCTCATCCTCCTCCTCCTCCTCCTCCTCCTCCTCCTCCTCCTCCTCCTCCTCCTCCTCCTCCTCCTCCTCCTCCTCCTCCTCCCTCCTCCTCCTCCTCCTCCTCCTCCTCCTCTCATCCTCCTCCTCCTCCTCCTCCTCCTCCTCCTCCTCCTCCTCTCCTCCTCCTCCTCCTCCTCCTCCTCCTCCTCCTCCCTCCTCCTCCTCCTCCCTCCTCCTCCTCCTCCTCCTCCTCCTCCTCCTGCGCGGGACGCCCCAGACAGCCCTGACCTCCCCCGAGAGCCTGGCGTCCTCCTCCTCCTTCTCCTCACGTCGTCCCTCGGCTCTCGGGTCCTAGCTCGGCTCTCCACCGGCCGCTCGGGACGATCCCGGCGCCCCCGGCACGCTCTCGGCGAGGCGCGACCGCTGGCGAGCATCCCGAGGCTGGAAGGCCGCCGAGAATCTGCGAGAGCGCCCGAGAAGACCTCGAGCCTCGAGCCTCGAAACCTCGTGGACCCCTGACGCCTACCCTTAGGTCGGGCATATCCCCCTGCAAAATCCGAAAACAGACCAAAAGATTCCGAAATGGGCCGAAAAATCGCCCCCTGACTAGTTTTTGACTATTTTTGCATATTCCTCCTGTTGAGGGACAGGCCCGACTTAAGCCTACCCAACGCCCCCCCTGTCGTGGCCCCTGGCCGCGGCCCTGGCCTGGACGCCCGTGCAGCAGCCGCCGGAGTCCGTGAGCACAGGCGAGGCCTCGAGGCACTGGAGGTCGGGGGCGGCGGCCGCGGCGGCCGAGTCCTCAGCTCCTGCGGGCCAAGGAGGGAGGAGGAGGAGGAGGAGGAGGAGGAGGAGGAGGAGGAGAGAGGAGGAGGGGGAGGACGAAAAGGAGGAGGAGGAGGAGGAGGAGGAGCAGGAGGAGGAGCAGGAGGAGGAGGAGGGAGCGAGCGAGCAGGCGCCGAGGGGCAGCAGGAGTCCGAGCGGCCGGAGTGGCCGAGGGCTGCAGCCAGACCCGGGGCAGAAGGGCATCCTTCAAGAGCAGGAGGCCCTCCTGCCGGCCAAGACACACAGCACATCCCAGGGTACCCTCCCCAGGATGCACAAGAACATCGGGGGGCGGAGGGAGGAGGAGGAGGAGGAGGAGGAGGAGGAGGAGGAGGAGGAGCAGGAGGAGCAGGAGGAGGGGGAGGAGGAGGAATAGGAGGAGGAGGAGGAGGAGGAGGAGGAGGAGGAGGGAGCGAGCGAGCAGGAGCCGAGAAGCAGCAGGAGTCCGAGCGGCCGGAGTGGCCGAGCGAGGTGCAGTCAGAACTGACGGGTGCGCGAAGTGGATGCAGGCCCCTTGGACGCCCATGTCGAAGCTCTTCGGGTGGGGCCTGCCATCGAAAGTAGAAAAGGATGGTCCGATGAGGCAAGGATACAAGAGTACCCGTGGGAAGGCCACCCATCCTTACCGTCGGCTTTGACTGTAAGCTCACACTCCCCACCAAGGCTGCAACCCCAGCACGTCCGCCAAGCTGGCCCGAAGCCGTCCGCTTGTGGAGGCGCCTGGCGGGGCAGGGCAGAAGCTGTGAAGCCACCGCGGGCGTCGGGCCAGCCTCGACGCCAAGCTCCGCCACCCAGCCGCGCGCGCGCGCGGGCCTGGAGGTAGGAATGCACGAAGTGCGAGCAGAGCCAGCCGAGAAGGAGGAGGAGGAGGAGGAGAACGCTTTTGGCGGCGCGCACAGGAGGGGATGGCGCGAGGGGGGTGGCCTTCTCAGCCTCAGATCTGGGGGGTGCGGTTTTTTCACGCCGAGCGTTGTCACCCGATTGCGGGCCCCAGGACCGTCGCAGATCGATATGGCTCCAAAAAGGCCGCAGAAAGATGGGCCCAGGGCTCCGGTCGTGATTTGTCGCGGCGTTGCCGATTTCTGCAACGTCAGATCTCAGAGTTCGGCGGCGCGCGTCTTATAGATGCACGGCTTCTGACCTGACCTGACCGGCACCGGGCCCAGGGCGAAAGCGAGAGGGGGCAGGCCTTCTCGGAAGGCCGCGGGGCTTCTCAGAAGCCCGCGCGCCTTCTGAGACTGCTTCTGAGCCCTGTCCGAACCCACGGGAAATTCCTCAGAGGGGGGCGAGGGCTTCTGAACAGCCCCGCTGCCTTCTGAGAAGGCCTGCCCCCCCTCGCACCTCCTCCCCGGGCGTGCCCCCGACTCGATCCCAGCGGCCTGCACTTCGCTTCGGCCTCCGAGGGCCGTGGTCGGGCCCCAGGGCAGTCCAACTCTCGCGCCGAACCCTCCTGCGTGCGCCGCCGAGTCTGGGAGGCCTGGAACCCTGGGCCCGGACTCGGCCCCGCCAGGACCGGTGCAGCCGCACGCCCAGCCATCCGGCGCCTCGACTCCCTCGACACGGAGGGCCCCCGGCGCCCAAAGACGCTCTCCCCGGGGGCGCGCCTTGGCGGACACGGAGGCCCGGCGAGGGCCCCGAGGAGGCCCAAGACGGCCAAGAGCCTCCCGTCGTGCTGTCCTCGCTGCGCGAGGAGGCTCGGGCCCGGGCTTCCAGGGCCGATCCCCGGACCCGTGTCGGGGCCTCGCAGACGGGGGTTTAGCGGAATGGGGGCTTAGGCTGTTCCATCTACCCCCGTGTACTGTTAGGGGCCCAGATGCGAACCCTACCCCTACCCCCCACGATTTCTGAGGGGGAGGGGTAGGGTTCGCATCTGGCCCCCGTGTACTGTACCCCCGCTTGCGGCGCCCAGGATCCCCGAAACGGGGGCACAGCCAAACGCGGAAATCGGCGTTCCCCGTATCCCTCGGCGGCCGCGTGAGGCCTCGCCTTGCCGCGTGAGTTGTAGCCCTTTCGCGCCGCCTCTGCCTATTTCGTCTCTGCGTAGCCCGCTTGGACCTGACTCGCCGCCGGCGCGCTCGCCCGCCGCCGCTGACTAAAAAAAAGTATCCCTCGGCGGTGGACAACCCTCTCTTCCGTAAACCTCCCCTTAGTGAAAGCGGCCGGGGACCGAAGCCGACGGACCTGGACCCGCAAAAAAGGACGGCCGCGACGCCCCCTCGCGAGCCGAAAACGGCCAGTTCCTTTCAATCGACATGACAGGGTAGGAGGCCTGTCCACCTCCGGGCATCCCCCTTTGCTGTGCCCCCGTCTCCTCGGGAGCGGCCAAGAGGGGGGGGGCCAAGAGGGGGGGTGCAAATCATGACCGGCGCCACGTGCGCGGCCCAGCGGGGGGGCCAGGGACGTAGTGAAATAAGAAGAGGCGCCATGAAATCTGGGGAAATATCATGGCCCACGCCATGATATCCACCCCCCCTAGTCATCACCCCCCTCTTTACCGCCCCCGAGAGATGCGGCGCGATCATCCGATCCCATCTGCTCCGACCCCATGAGGAGGAGGAGGAGGAGGAGGAGGAGGAGGAGGAGGAGGAGGAGGAGGAGGAGGAGGAGGAGGAGGAGAGAGAGGGAGGGAGGAGGAGGAGGAGGAGGAGGAGGAGGGAGGAGGAGGAGGAGGAGGAGGAGGAGAGGAGGAGAGAGGAGGAGGAGAAGGAGGAGGAGAGGAGGAGAGAGGAGGAGGAGGGAGGAGGAGGAGGAGGGAGGAGGGAGGAGGGAGAGGAGGTGGGCGCCCCGACGGTGTCGGGGCGCGCTCCGGCCCGGAAGCTTGGGGGGCGGCCGCGGCCGTGGCGGCGAGAGGAGCCTCCCGGAAGGCGAGGGGCGTCCGCGCGCGTCGGCCCTCCGCGGGCGGGGCACGGCCAGCAAGAGCGGCCAGAGATGGACCGAGGAGGAGGAGGGGGAGGAGGAGGAGGAGGAGGAGGAGGAGGAGGAGGAGGAGGAGGAGGAGGAGGAGGAGGAGGAGGAGGGAGAGGAGGGGGAGGGGGAGGAAGGGAGTTGGAGGGTGACAACTTCTCAGAAGGCTGGGGGACTTCCGAGCCTTCTGAGAAGGCCCGCCCCTTCTCGTTTCCCCACTGGGTGCGCCGCCGAGAGATGCAGTGTACAGTGCGGAGCGCCCCCTAGCGGGCCCGAGTAACGACAGGAGGCAAGGGCAGCCTCGGCAAGGTTGCCCATCCTTCCGGTGCGGGCTGCCTGCACGTACCCGCCAGTCGGAAGGAGTACGTGGCAGCAGTAAGCAGGAAGGCGGATAGAAAGTAGACTTTTGGGTCGGGCCCGCCCGGAGAAGAACAGACAGCAGCGAAGACACGCCAAGGATTGAAGTAGGAATGCGCTTGCAGTAGAATTGGGAGCCAGATATCCCCAAACACCTGCTTTCCACGCCTGGCGTTCGGTCGGGCCTGTCCCCCCAAAGGGGGACTTTGGACGAAATCTAAAAAACAGTCCAAAAATGATACGAAAATGCTCCAAAAATGCTGAAACAAATAGTCAAAAAAATAGCCCCCAGACTATGTCTTGACTATACTTTTGAACATCCCTCCTGCAGAGGGACACGCCCGACTCCAGCCGGACGGGGAATGCTCTCCGCCTTCAGCGCGACGCGGGACCGCCTGCGCGACCGCGCCTGCGCGGCCGGCGCTCCTCGCGCCGGCGGCGCAGGAGGAGCGGGGGCGCGGCGCCCGCGTCCTTGGCAGCAGTCCGCCGAGTTCCCCATCGCCTCCGCCACGTGGGGCGCCAGCGCGGGCCCGGCCAGCCTGTCGGGGGCGGCCAAGAGGGGGGCGTCCAAGGGGGGGGGGGGGCGCAGGTCATGACCAGCGGCATGTGCGCGGCCCAGGGGGGGGGGGGGGCAGGGGCACAATGAAGGAAGACGAGGCGCCATGAAATCTGGGGGAACATCATGGCCCACGCCGTGATGTCAACCCCCACCTAGTCATCACCCCCCTCCTGGCCGCCCCCGAGCCTGGCCCGGGGAGACGCAAGACTCGGGCTCTGGAAACTCGTCCTTGAGAATGTTCTCTAACTCAGCGTTGCGGCCAAGTGGCAGCAGTTGGGGGGGGAGGCGGGGGGGGGTTCTGGTTCCGGACCTCTGCTTAGTGCTACTGTCTGCAACACTGCGTCCTATGGGGGGGACCCACCTGCTTGAAACAGGCGCCAAAAACGAACACAATCTACTCAAGGGGGGGAGGGGCCCAGGGTTTGCGCCGACCGATCGACAAAACAATGAATAAGAAAACGTAAACATTTCCCTGACCCTGAGATCCTGGCGTCTGGTTTTTGTTCGAGCCGGGCGCTTTCGCGCAAAGTTTCGGGCCCTGGCCCTCAGAGATCGATCCAGCTCGAAAGATACCGCAGAAAAACGGGGTCCAGTGCTCCCGTCGTAACTGTCTGCGATGTCTCAATTGTGTCGCGCCGTCGGATGCCAGGGCTCGTCATTTTCCTGACGGGGCCGTCAGGAAAATGACGACAACCCTTCTCATATTCGATGCGATGCGAGCTCACGCCGCAAACATCCCACGAATACCGGACCGCCCAAGCCCAGGACGGGCCAGTCAAGAGGCGGCGGCAGACCCGAGCTCCAGCGAACTCGAGTCTTACGTTTCCCCCGTTGATGGAGGTCTCCTGAGCGGGGTCCGAATAGATGGGGTCGGAGGATCGCGCCGCACCGGTGATGCATCGGCGCCGCCGGCGTGGCGGAAAGTCGGGCTCCACATCGAGCCGCATCGCCGATGCATCGGCAATGCGGCGCGGGCCCCCAACATGGGACGCGGGTGCAGCTCGACGACTTCAGCACCCTCCCCCCGCCGCCCATCGCGTTCCCTGAGCCCTCGATCGGCGAGGATGGGGTTCGACTGGCACCGCCCGCTCCGACCCGTTTTAAACAGCAGCCAGGGCAAAGTCGCCCTGCTGCTTTCATTTCTTAGGAGGGGGAGGGGGAGGGGGAGGAGGAGGAGGAGGAGGAGGAGGAGGAGGAGGAGGAGGAGGAGGAGGAGGAGGAGGATTGTTTCTTGACCCCTCCGGGAGGCCTGGAGCTGAGGAAGTCCTGCTCGCCCGACGGGGCCCCCCGAGGCCGGCCGGGGCGCGACCGGCCAGGGGCGGCGCGCTCACGGCCACGCCGCACCCGGCCACGCCATGGCCCCCCGGGCGGAGCGTCGGCTGCGCGTCGAGGTGACCCTCTGCCAGAGCGATGTTCGGTGCGGGCCCACGCCAAGTGGGAGTTTGTTATGAGTGGGTCTTCGAAGAACTTGCGCTTGGATTTGACTGCAAAGAAACGCAAGAGGACCTCCAAAGTCCACCTGTCCAGAATAAGTATGCTTCGTCCGCATCTCCATCGATTTCGCCGGAGCGGAGCGATGTTCGGAGCGATGTTCGGAGCGACGTTCGGTGTGGGCGTTGCAAGATTTGCCACACTGGACGTCCTCGCCAGGATCCGGGCCCCGGGGCCCTCCCGGGCCGATGGGGCTCGAAGGGCGGCGCAGAGAGAGATGGGGTCGAGGGCTCCGGTGGTGATCTCCCGCGACGTCTCAAGTCTTCCGCAGCGTCGGATCTCGGGGTCCCGCCAGCACTGGCCAGCACGCTTGGACCGCCTGGATCTGGCCTCCCCCGCGGCTCCCGAGCCCGACCTCCGGGGCGAAGGCCTGGGGTGCGGGAGAAGGGAAGGCAAGGAGAGAAAGAGAAGCAGAACGGCAGAGGAAGAGGAAGGAAACAGAAGCACGAGGAGGAAGAGGAGGAAGGCCAGAACTGAAGAGAGAGCTGCAAGGGCACAGACGAGGAGGAGGAGAGTGGCGCGCCCGACGACGACGAGAGTGCCACCCTGGCCTAGGGTCATTCCTGCGCGCAGCCGAAGCGGGGGGGCGCAGGGCGCCGCGCAGCCCCAGGGGGCCCCGGGAGACCGCCGAGGCCACGGGCCCGCCTGGGGCCTCCTGCGGCGACGAGGACGGCGGCGGCCACAACGCCGACGACGACGCCGCAAACGCCGACAACGCCAACGACACCGCCGACGCCGACGCCGACACGCCGACGCCGACGACGACGCCGACGCCGACGCCGACGCCGACGCCGACGCCGACGCCGCCGCCGCCGCCGCCGCCGCCGACGACGACGACGACGACGACGACGACGGCGACGACGGCGACGACGGCGGCGGCGGCGGCGGCGGCCGCGGCGGCGGCTGAGGTTTTCGACCGTCTTGGGAAATCGGGGCCCACGAGGGCCTCTACCTCTAGGATCCTCCACGGAAGACTCTGCAGACCCCCCCACGGTAGCCCCGCGGAGGCCCCCGGAAACATCCAAGCGGCCGCGGCGGCGACGTGGACGACGACGCTTCGGGCCAAGACATGTTTGCATTGCGAAAAGAACACCACTGGAGAATGGTGCCCGTTTTCGGCCTCCACAGGGCCTCGCCGGCCCCTGGGACCATCAGCAACAACAAATCGAAACGACAAGCCGGCCCTAGGAGAACCGTCCGGATGTTTGGCGACACCGCTTGGCCAGAATCCAAACATCGGATGTCTGGGGCGACGGCGGCGGCGGCTGCGACAGCGCTTCGGATTTTCGTTAGCGCTAGAGTTTTTAGCGGATATTCAAGGAAGTTTTCTCGTCGCATGCTGAGCACTACTTCGCGCGTCAAGAGCTCTACGACAGTTCCGGCGGTAACCTGGTTGACGGTCGACCGCCGGCTCCCAGTTGGCCCACCCGGCCCAGGCGGACAATGTGACGACCTGGGGTCGGGTTTTTGGACATTGTGAGAGATTTGAAAATTCGTTTTGGGAACCCCGATTTTTCTAACGTGAAGTGGGTTGTGCCGCGTCTGTTTGTCAAATCCTCAGGTCCGTAGCTGCAATACTACTATCAAGGAACGTGGAAGAACCGATGTCGAAAACAAAAAACTGTACGAGGTCCCCATTCTCAGACGTCTCGATACTGTAGGCGACCGTGTCTGATAATTCCCTGTTGAACGGTGTGCTTCCCAGCTCCCCAGCGCCTACAACTCGAATTAAGTACAGAAAACCGAACACCACCTCTCATAAACATGAAAGGTTGCAAATAATTACTTGGTCGCGGCTCTGGTAGCAAACCGATCTCAGGTGTCTAGATGTTTTAAACTGGTGCTCCTCAGCATTTCCACTCGATTGGTGTGCACTCAAGCTCCGTAGCTGGCCTACAGCTCGAAATCATGTGAGGAAACACATATCATTTCTCGAGACAACTTTACGATGCGAAAAATGTTTCGGTGGTGGCTCTGGTTTCAGGCCGATTTCAGACGTCTCGATACTACAGGCGGATGTGCATGAGAAATTCTTCTTTGGAGGTGTGCTACCCAGCCCCGTAGCCAGCCTACAAGTCAAGTAGAGAAACCTACATCATCTCTCCAAAATTAGCAGAGTGCGAATAGTGTTTAGTCTCAGCTCTCGTAGCAGACCGAATTCAGGCATCTAGATACTTGACACGAGCACGCCGGATGATTCTCTTCCGATTGCTGTGCCGAACAGCTCTGTAGCTCATCTAGAGCTCGATCTAAGTTAAGAAAACCGACAGCACCTGTCAAGATGACACTCAAGCCGCCTGAGTGCTTTTTGTTAGTAGCACCACCCGATCGACCTGATATCAAGATGGCGAGCGGGAATAAGATCGAAGGTTGATACAAAAATATTAGAGCTCTAACGAATGGTTGAATTTCGAGAAACTGATTCTAAACTGACCGAAATCATGCAAAACTTCCCTCGAGATTTCTCGAGCCAACTAGCCCGCCAGCGCGCCGGAATTACTCTTTAGCTTCGCTGCTCCGCTCTTAGGGAAGCTCTACGAGTCACTTTCAAATCTCTTAGCATCTCCCGAAAAACCGACCCCAGGTCATCGGATTGTCCGCCGGGGCCGGGTCGGTCAACTGGGAGCCCGCGACAAGCCGTCACCCAGGTTACCGCCGGAACCCTCGCAGAGCTCTTACGCGCGAATTAATGCTCAGATTACGTGGAGACAGTCTCTTGAATATCAGCTCAAATACTCGCAGAATGTATGTTTTGGGATTTCATACGAAGTCGGCCCCCCTACGTGTTTGAATAATACTATTCCAGCGGATCTAACAGTTTGACAGACAGGGGCGGCATAATCCACAACACGCTCCAAGAAAAAAACAAGTTCTGAAATCGAACTGTCAAACCTATGAATCTGCAAAAAACCGAGCCTGGGTCATCACTGGAAGACAGCGGTAAACCGTCAACGTTGGTTTTTTTTGCGGTTTGCGGTCCACCACTAGAATCCTAATCCGAATCGGCGGAACAGTGCAACTGAGACCCCACCGTCTTAGGTAGGTCGCAGCAGAGCGCACGCCACCTTAGCAGCAGCTCGTCAGGGCAGCGCAGGCAGCTAGTTCGCAGCAGGTTACCGTGCTACCTGGAGGCAAGCTCATCGCCTCCTCGGCCACATCGTGGCACTGGAAGCTCTGCGAGCTGATGCAGGAGGAGGAGGAGGAGGAGATGGGAGATTCAACCTGCACGCTGGAACCACTACCTCCTACACCAATCTGAAGCCACCACCCGCCTCCACATCCTTCATTACTGACACCCCCATCGAATGCACCACGGAGAGCAGTCTTACGAGCACTGAGGAACTGATCGTATGCAAACCAGCGAGTAATAGTTTGGCCACCTCTGGCCTCCCACGACAATCTATCCGCACGCTCATTACCCTCACGAAAGAAATGTTTATACAAGTTCTGTCCCGATGCAGGTGAGGTCAGTCCCCATCCAGACAACATCGATAAAGTATGTTGCAGTACTCCCACCAGTCGTACATACTGCTTGTTATGAATCTGCCACTCACCACACACCCAATTAACGACCGTCTTACTCTCCCAAGATTTCCATCCCAAGACGTTCAATACTCTCACACCTCCACCCCGTTTCATTCTCATAAATAGCGGCAATACGTTTGCTAATCCTCTCATTGATCTCTCTCTCTCCACCTCCTCCTCCGCCTTCACATACCTCACACCAGGTGACCTGGGTAAGACAAATAACTCGAACAAGTGTTGCATGCCAATCACAGTCAGCAGATGTTTGCAATATTTCTCGCGGGACCCAGCGGAGCTGTCGAACGAGAGGTACCACTCACAACCAAAGAGATCGCACAAACACCAATCCCATACAGTATGCCCACGGGCGGGGGCACCCATGCTCATGCGCGTGAGATGCTTCCTATCTTTTGCAGGCAACGCAAGAATACATGTGTCCCGATGTTCCGTCCACCTCCCCCTTCCATGTAGCATGGCCAGCCTAGATATCATCCATTCACGTGAGATGTTCGACTCCTCAGGCATGGCAGGCTGATCATCCGTTGTCCGCCGTCGACCCCCACTCGACATCTGGGAGATCTGGGATACTTGAGAAGCCGCCGCCGCCGCCATCGCCCAGGGTTTTTTATCTGACGCCGATTTGGTACCGTCTCCACATCATCCGCAACTGTGTGTGTGTTGTGTACCGCCTCATACGAATACTTGCAGCAACTGAGACATCCTTGGCCGGATCCCAACAACGAAATATCCATATCTGCACCGCACTTCGAAATCCTAGCTCAACAAACCTCTGCCGTCCAACTTTGTATCGTCTACGTTGAAACTCAGACCATCCTTCAGTTCTCCGCTTGCGTAGGCCTGACATCAACGCCAGGCATCTCCCCTGAAAGGAGTGAACAGCAGCAATGGTGGAATAGTCGGGCGTTCGGCCCTGACAGTTGAATAATAATGCAGCAGTCACACTAGATTGATAACGAGTAAATCTCTCAACCAAATCAATACCAGAGCAGCGATACTGGGCGCCGGCGGTCAACCGTCAACCTTTGTTACCGCCGGGGGACTCGTAGAGCTTCCTGACAACATATAATGTCGGAAAGAATTACACCGAAAACATAGTTTTTCAGCCCAAGCAATCTCAGACCTCTCGGATGCAACAGCCGAACGCCCCTGATGCTTCTGGATTGTGTTCTGTAAGAGCTCTGTAGCTCTCCTACAGCCCGAGTTACGTGCGCAAATCGACAGCACCTCTCAAGATGACTCGAACAATACGAATAGTAGCAAACCTAGCTCGAGTATCTGACCGAGTTCAGACCTCTGCATGCGACAGGCAGACGCGTCTGATGTCTCTGAATCGATTCCTGTGATTACCAGCCCTGCAGCC